ATGACAGCTAGTGCAGTATTGGAAATTAGACTGCCTGAGGTCGCATCTTGATTCCACCACTACTTTGAGCCCTGAGGTCACAAGTCTCAAATTCTCAGAACTTCCCCTATAAAGTTAGGGTATTACCCATTGGGTGGGGTTGTCAGAAGGATTGAATGAAATAATGTCTTTAAACCACTTCTGTTGAAGCCTGTGGTACATAAATGTTTGCTTAGTACTGAAGCAGCAGCGTAAATGCCTTTGTTCAGGAATGTGAGTTTGTATATAATACTTTGGTAGTCATCTCAGCTTTCACCTGATAGGTTGTTCTCTGTGTCTATAATTGACTCTTCTGCTAAGGATAGCCCTAAATGGGCATGAAGTTAAAACTTACGTGTAAACAACGTGATTCAAAAGTCAAACTGGATTGCAGATGGCACAGAATCTAAAATTGCCTCTAGCAAATCTCAGACATTTCTATACCATAGAGGTTAAGGGCATTGTCTCTGGAACCAGATAACCGGACTTGGTATTCTAATTCCACTGTTCACTAGCTCTGTGACCTTGACAATTTGCTTGACCTCTCTGTTCCCCATAACCTTCATCTGTCAAATGGTAGTAATAATAACCCCTACCTCAGTGTGTTGTGATAAATATACATGATCATCCACGCATGCCCACATGCACACACACACTGTCATATATATAAAATGACTGGATCCTCTAAATGAAACGTGCAGTGCCTCAACAATGCCTAGCATGCAGTAAGCACTACAGAAATGTTTTCTGTTTTTCGTGTTTTGTTTGTATCTATGTCTATTTTGACATAATTTTTGTTGAGAAATAAATCAGAAAAGTGATTGCTTTTTTCCCCTCTAGTTCAATAAGGTCCTGAGCTCTGTGACTTGAGAAACACACCAGCCATGTGTGCATGCATGTTCAAAATCCTGAAAGGGGAGAGAGTTGGAGGAGAAGTGAATACAGAGTAATTATCTCCCATGGGAGTTGCTTTCTCATTTTCCCTTTCTCTGTGTCTCTTTCTGGCAGTGGCATGCACATGTGTCCTCAGGCAAAAAAAATTTTTATTTGGAGGGATTTTTGCTATAGTGCATGTGCACTCACCAGAGAGACACAGAGACAAAAAGTGAGAAATCACCCTCCCTCCATGGGGGATAGTCATGATGTGATCCCTTCTCCTCCATCCTCCTCTCAGGATTTTGGGCATGCACACACACACGCCCTGCATGAGTTTTAAGCCACCAGGTCCAGAACTCCAACCACAATAGACTATGTGGAGTCCAGTGACATAACCAGTACACCACCTGCTGGTCCTCGGGCAAAAATTTTTAAGTGTATGTGTGTGTGTGTGTGTGTGTGTGTGTGTGTGTCTGCATTGGATCATCAGAAAAGTCATGACATAATTTTTCTATGTAAAAATGAGTCGTTGACTTTTCTGACAACCAACCCCATAAAGATGCTACTTTAATTATAAGCTGAATTATTAATAGTAGCTTTCAGGCAATCCTACTATTGGTAATGTTCTAGAGGAAAAAAAAATGCCATCTCTTTCTTTCAAAAATATCTGAAGTGCACTTTGAAAAGGTGTCATCAATTTTATTGCCACGTTCTGGGGCCTTGTTGTGACTGTTGTCACCTGGTCCTACTCCTGCATTTGACATTATTGACCACTCTGTCCTTGAAATCCTCCCCTTCCTGGCAGCTTGTCTTAGACGTGGCTTCTCTCCTAGCGATTACTGCTCTCATTTCTCGGGGAACTCCTTTTCCACCTGCTCCCTCTGGACAAGTCCTCCAGGACCACGCTCACCCTCTCTTCTCAGGACACTTTCTCCAAGGCTCAGTGATCTCATGGCTTCTTCTCCCCTCTAAGCCGAGACCTCACAGCTGTTCTGTTCTCTCAGCTCTGTCTAGCCCTGGATCCCCTGCTGACATTCCCGCTTGAGTTGTTTCTCACCACTTGAGAGCCAAACTTGGACTTCTTTCAGAATCGTTCCTTTGCAGTACCCTTGTGTGTCAATCAGTACGTCCTGGCCAAGTCCCTGTGTATCATGTGTTGTTGTTACCTCTTTTGTCCTCCTATGTGGTATCACTGCTACCTGCCCTTCTAGGTCAAAACCTTATTATTCTAGCAACTGCCTCTTTGGAGACATTCCCACTGCAAGCACTCTCCTTCCAGCTTGTCTTTGGTAGCATGGATGGGGTAATGTTTTCAACAAGCTGTTTACCCTTTCTAGAGCTTTCCTGTTTCTAACCATTATCAAGTGCAGGCACTTGTGCTTGGCTTTCAACATTTCCACAGTTTACCTTTCAAGCCTAGACCCCCTTAGGTCCTACTAGGGCCACTCAGACCGTGCTCTGGGCTGATTTCTTACCACAGCCCCAAGCGCACACCTGTATTTACACTAGACCTCTAGCTTTCCCTGCCTCTGAGCAGCCTCTGAGCAGCCTCTGCCTTGAAACTCAACACTGAATATTCCTTCATTGCCTTGTTTACACTTGTGTGTTAGGCATCACCTTAATTTGCAGCTGTATGAAGACAAGAACCATTCTTTCAGCATTCTTAAATTATATCTGAACCTAGCATAGTATTTGGAACAGGAAAAAAATAAATAAATAATCCATAGAACCACTGACCATTACTCCCATCTGAACCTAGCATAGTATTGGGAACAGGAAAAAAAAAAATAATCCATAGAACCACTGACCATTACTCCTCCAAGGAACTGAAGAGAAAATGTATCACTTGATCCTCTTATTACAGAAATGAGGAATCTGAACAGCTGAGATGTATATTTTAAGATTTAGTTATATATTTAGATTTATGATTACCTTCTATTTATTGCAAATGGTATCTAGTTGCTATTTACACTATTGATATAAAGTTTTATTATTCTATTATTAACTGCTTTTTATTAAAAATATTAATTAAAGAGAAATGTTAAGCAAATGATAGTACCAGAGGTAAGACAATGTAGCAAAATTTGTGAAAGTAATGCTCAAGTGATAGTAGTCTTGAAAATACTACAGTCTGTTATGTTTAGAGTCTATGTTTAATAAATAATTGTCACTCATTGCTAACTCATATAGGTCAACACAGAAAACTGTCTTCTGACCCCATTTCCTTAAAGCCTCTTATGTCTGTATGAGCAGACATGTGATTTTCACTCCTACAGTTTTATTGTGTTGTCAAGGGAAGAGATGAATAGAGGGTCAACTGGCAAATATGTTCTTGGGCTCCTAGGAGGTTGTCTGGGGGCTGTTTGCCAGAAGGGTAACATGGCACCGAGTCAGTCTCATCTGGAGGCAGGAACATCAGCCCCTTTTCCTATTGCTCTGACTAGAACTCTCCTACACATAAAGTCTAGCTGACCAGGCTGCAACACATTCAACATTGAATGAGTCCCCCAAAAGTTTAAATTCCCATATGCACAAAAGCATTTGTAAGAGAGGCTTTTCTATTTTTTGTGACAATTGCTGCTTATTCGCTCTCTCTTATTTTGGAAGCTTTAACAGCCACCCTCAGCAGCCCTACCTTATAGTGGTTTTCACCAGCATGTTTAGACTCTCCCTGACCAGACTCACTGAATTATAGGCTTCAAAGTAAACTCTCTGCAGGAGAACACAAATAGACTGTGGCTGGAGGTCTATTTCGGGTGGGACCTAACAATGCAAAGAATTCCAAATACTGGAAAATACTCAGCCCACAATACTGCCCTCACTTCAGACACCATCTGCAAATTTGGAAGTCCCAGACCCCTTGCACTTCTGACCAACTGGTTGCAATTTTAGAGGTCCCCACACAGGACCCCTCCTGTTTGAACAGCTCATAGAACTCAGAAAAGCACTATACTTACAATAAAAAGTTTTGTTATAAAGAATAAAAATCAGGACCAGCCAGCATAAAGAAACATACCGGGTAAGGTCTGGAAGAGTTCCAACAGTGAAGCTTCTATAGCCTCAGGACTCATCACCCTCCTCCCGACACATCAATATATATTACCAACCAGAAAGCTTACCCAGGCCTTGGTGTCCAGAGTTTTTATTGGTCTTTCCTTATGTAGGCATGACTGACTGAATCATTGGCAATGTGATTGGACTCAATCTCCAACCCCTCTTTCATTTCTGGAGTTCGGGAGGTCACACTGATATTATATGACTCAAAGTCCTTACTCTTGAATCACATGGTTGGTCTTCTTGGGGAAGCCAGGCCCATCTTGGAACTAGGAAGAGCCCACAGTGAATGATATCATTTGCATCTCTCATGTATGGTTGGGGAGCCCACAATAAATAACACAGATACTCATCACTTGGGAAATTCCAAAGGTCTGGAAGTTCCTTCCTAAAAGCCCATGACCAAAGCCCAGTCAATACTTACTATACAACACACAGAAAATAAATAAAAACATACATACATACAAACCTATTTAAAGTAACAGAAAACCAAGGCAAAAACTTATGATTTTTTTACAATGGAGAAACTCAATGGGAAAATATCTTCCAAATATAAAAAAGTAGTCAAAAAACACTATTAGAATCTTTTTGTTGTTGTTTTTCACTCATTTTTAATGTATTCATTCAACGATTTTTATTGATTAACTCCTATGCTAGTTGCTGGAGATACATGTTATACCTTGTAATAAAAAAATAGTTTATTTGTATTATATAGAAGAGAAGATGAACTGTTTGAAATTATTTGCTGATTTTGGTTGCAATCTGCGGGAACCTGATTTTTGAGAAAAATTGTTCAGTTTTGCTTATCAAGAAGGATGTGAGAGCCCTCAAACTGTGTGTTAAGCATCAAGTCTAGAGGTGTGTAGAATGTGAGGACATGGGGGTAATAGACATTCGTGTTGTTCATTTAACCAGAAGGGAACTATTCGATGTTAAAATTTGAAACAAATCCAAGAAGTGACTCGAAATGTGATGTGTTATAAACTGTTCTGTTTTTGCTTTCCTGTAATTGGAGCAACATACTAATTTCTACAAGTTGTGACTACTAACAGAGAGCAATCACCTCACAGACTTGTACCGGAGAGATGAGACCATCCAGGTGACAGGAAACGGCCATGTGCAGAGTCCTCGCTTCCCGAATAGCTACCCCAGGAACCTACTGCTGACGTGGCGGCTCCATTCCCAGGAGAAAACCAGGATCCAGCTAGCGTTTGACAATCAGTTTGGCTTAGAGGAAGCAGAAAATGATATCTGTAGGTAAGTGAAAAAAAAAATCCATTTTAGAATTCCATCTAAGGTAAAAAAAAAAAAAAAAAAAAAAAGATGAAGTTAAACAGACACATCAAACATTGCTTTTGTGTCCTTTTGGATCTACCCAAGATGTGTCATATCTTTTTCAAAAAGCTGTTGTGTCAGCCCTAGGGGATAAGACAGCCGTCAACAGCTGCTGCAGAGGGCCTAATAACCTGGGTAACTCATAGAAATTTACTTCAGTAACGACTTCAGTCACGACTGCATGACTCCAAGAGAAGGATGGATACTGGAGGTCCTCATCCCATGCAGGTGCAGAATAGCCTTGGCGAGCAGGTAGATGCATTGGACATCTGGGGTCACCTGCAACTCCATTATGAGGCCCTGGTCAAAGCCTGCCAGGGACTTAGTGACCATAGACCCCCTTAACTCTAAGAAGTTGACCACAGTCATTGTAACCATAATGATTTTCCCGCACACTGGGAGCAAATGGGGATAGAGGAGCGTCCAGTGACCTTACAAGGAAGTTCTTATCTGAAGGTTGGTTATGTGTGAACAGGAAGAGGCCACCCCAGAGTCCTTCTGCCCCTCAGATAGTTCTGTTTTCTATAGTTTCTAGGACAGCCTTAGAAAATGAAAACTGTACCTGATAATCTTCTCTCTTCTTAGCATATTTATCAGAGGAAGTTTGGGCTGTCCTTTCAGCTGTCAGCTCAGGGCATCTTACTCACTTAATTAGCATGTATAAGACTTGGGAAGGATTTTTTTCCCTTTCTCCACTTTATTGCATGCACTTGTTCTGCATTGCCAATGAACTACTGAACTGCTAAATTCTTTCAGCAGGTTTATTTTCCTTTGAATAATAAAGAGAGGTGCCTCAAATTGGGTTGTCCTTTGTTGCATGTTTATTATGCAGACAGCTTTTATTAGGTTGCTACTTTCCTGAGAATAACAGGAGTGACTGTTACTTTCTAGGAGCATAGAGGGTAATGTATGCCGGAAAGCAGAGATGAATACTTGCAGGAAGAGCCAGTTAATATTTACAAAGAGAATAAACTAAAGCTGAGCTAGCGTCTTTTCAACCTTGAAAGGGAGAATATGTTTTCTCTATTAAAAAAAAAATCAAAGGAAAAAAGCCATAACCTTATTAATATGGCAAAAGGTGATGACGTTGAAGGTAGCATGATCTGTTCTACCCACAGAACACGTGTGACGCAGTGTGTGTGGGTTTTATTTTCCCCCACCAACCAATTCTCTGATATCAGCTGGTCGCCTTCAAATTCAATTCGATTCTGACACTCCCTACCTAGAATTACTGCTGTGTCCCACAGGTTAAGGGCTCAGTCCCATAAGACCACCCCTGTGTTAGATGCCAAGCGCCTTGTCCTTCCGAGTCCTGACTAGAGATCAGGGAACCTCCTTGAGTTCAGTAATATGCCAGAACACCTCACAAGACTCAAGGAAACACTTCTGTTTCATATGGGGAGACTTCAAAAAGTTCACAGTGGGACCAGCAGTTGGCTTAATGGTAACATTGCTGATTCCCACCTTGCTACCCACAGTTTGAGTCCCAGACCCTGTGGCTTAAACTTGCACATAAGGCGTGTACATGCATGTCCAAAATCCTGAGAGGAGAATGGAGGAGAAGGGATTGTGGCATGGCCATTCCTCTGTGGGGTGATTTCCTGCTTTTCATCTCTCTGTCTCTCTCTATCTGTCTGGTGAGTACATGTGCCCTATAGCAAAACTCTCTCGTTAAAAAAAAAAAAAAAAAAAAAATTAATGGGAAAATAGAATTAAAGTCTGGGTTTATTTTGATGCAAAAAAAAAAAAATCAAAATCTATGCATAGTTGTTTTCATGGTACATGTTTTCCGTTAACATTTTGAAGACCACCCCCTCCCTATACTACCTGTTTATTAGAGTCTTTAAATCAGAAACAGCCAAGTGAAAGAGATGAATCGGGCTGCGTATGGGGGCAGGGGCCTTACCCAGGATCACCACCTCCAAGCACCTGGCTGTGTTCACAAACCTGGAATTTCTGAAGCTCATAGTTAGGGGGGTTATGGAGTTTTCATTATATAGGCATGATTGATTAAATCATTGACTCTTGGTAATTGAACTCAGTCTCAGGCCTTTTGTCCCCAGAAGTCTGGTGTGGCTTAGAAAAATTCCAACTCTCTATTCCTGCCTGGAGTTTTCTAGTGACCAGTCCCTTTTCTGAAGCTATTTAAGGTCCACTGGGAGTAACCTCATTAGCATTAGCTAGGTATGATTCAAAGGGGTTTACTTTGAATACATTTTTCCCCATATTTTTTAAAGAATTATTTTATTTAACTTTATTTATTTAAATTCGACCAGAGAGGGACAGAGCAAGAGCGAGAACAAGAGTGGGCATAAGGGGGAGTGAGTAAGCAAGATGCTTGGTCTGAGACTTGAACCATGGTGGGCCATGTGGGAGTCCAATGCCTTTCACCACCACACCACCTGGCGGCCCCCAAAGGGGCTTACTTTGAATAATCAATGTGTTCCTCTCACCTTGTTGCTCAGGAAATCCAGGGGTTTTAGAAACTCCATGACAAGAATCAAGGACAAAGGTCAAATATCTATTAATTTTCTTTCTTTCTCCCCACCTCCGCCACTCCTGCATAGGGTGCATGTGCCTTCTTGAGAGAGACAGAGAGGAAAAGTGAGAAATCACACCCCTGAGGGGGAATGGTCACACCTCAATCCTTTCTCCTCCCATCTCCTCTCGGGATTTTGGGTACACATGCGCACAGGCCTAGTGTGAGTTTCAAGCCGCCAAGTATGAGACTCAAGCCATGGTTGACCATGTGGGAGATGAGTGCCTTAAACGCCACACCTGCTGGCCTCCAAATCATGTATATATATAAGAGATTTATTATATCACAATACCACAGAAAGGAAACCAGACCACCACTAGTGGCCTATGGTTTTAATCTTGGCAATAAGCCCTTTGAATGCCCTTACCTTGAAAATAGGAGAGGAAGACTTAGGATGGTTTTTATTTTGGATCCTTCATCACATTGAGTGACTTCTCTAATTTATCGAAGAAAGTAAAGGAGTAAGAGGTAGAAAAGTGGAGAGAAGAAGGGAAAGGGATCAGAGACTGACGTCAGATCCTAAGAAACGAAATGATTCTCCCTTGACTTCAGAGTCAGAGTTAAAATTAAATAGATACTGTGTTATTTTTTAAACAAAAGTGACCCATTGTGTTATTTTAAAAGTTTCATGTATATCCATGCTTAATGTAGTAAATATGATTTACACATAGTGTATATAAAATGAACTGCAATTGATTTTCTACCATCTGTTCCAAAGCCTCCTTGATGTTTACATTGTAATATTTTATTGCTTGAATAATGATTCTTTGTTAGCACTTTCCACCTTCCAAGCACCATGTAAATGTTAAATAATTAATTTACACAGCACCCAAGAGATATCCAGCTACTAAAGTTATAAAAGCCTTCTTATTTTGCCCGTAAGGAAACTGAGGCAAAGAACATACAAGCCTTATAAATCACTGTCAAAGAAATTTAGTCGCAATACCATTATTTTTCACCTACTCCTTATATTACCTGGCCAAATCAAATAAGAACTCTAAAGTGCATGCATAAGACCAAGAAAGCCACACTGCTTTTTCTTCATAGTTAGAGATGCTGTTTCTTATGCTGATTCTTCTGGTAATGGTGACAGAAAAATATAAGCGATACGAGACTTCTGCCACTGTTCATCTAGAATGCCCATCCTTTGTGTGACTTTCACATCCGAAGTCATCCTGGGAAAAGAGAGAGCGGAGGGATGCGACCTTGATGATCAGACTGAAAGGCGCATAGTTCAGCTCTAAGCAGCGATTCCTAGAACTCAAGATGGAAGGAGACTAGATAACCCCTAGAGTGTATAAACTCTCACAGAAGATGCACTATCATATGATAGGATGATGGGATGCTATGGAGGGACTTTTGAGTGTCAGAATGTCACATGGAATAACTACAGGGGCCTTCGCTATCTTAATTCTGGGATTCCATGTTTCTCTGACAATGGCAAAAGTGAACCTGCTCTTATGCTCAATCACACCCTGGTTTAGCCAGTCAAGATTTTTCCAGGAGTGGTTAGCATACATCTCTCCCCACAGTTACATGCTTTTCCTTATAACCTATTTTAATTTTAGTTATTTTTAGGTTTTTACCACAGGGTGTATGCACTCCCCAGAGAAAGACAGAGGGAGGGAAAGTGAGAAATCAACCCCCAGAGGAGATGGCCACATTGCCTTCTCCTCCATTCTCCTCTTAGTATTTTGGGTATGCATTCACACGTGCCCAGAGTGATTTTCAAGCCACTGAGTCCAAAACTCAGACTGCAGTGAACCATGTGAGAGTTAAGCGTCTGAACTGCCATACCACCTGCTGGCCCCAAAATATTTTCTATTTTATGATATCCTTCCAAGAGACAGTTTCCAAAAACAAAATATACAATTATAAAACATGCCCATGTCTATTTATGTTCTGTAGTGAGAATGCTGATTGTATAAGCTACATAGATAAAGATTATTTCCTTTCTCAAGGAAGTACTGAATATGGTGAATTAATTCAAAGTGGAAGTTAGTTTGAAAAACTTTAAACACTAAATATTTAGACATGTAACTCAAACTTCATCTCCTAAAATATGTCAACTGATTACGATTATTGGTTTTGCAAGGAAAACTTTCTAAGCCAGATGCTCAAATTGAGCCCATTTTGATTATTGATGATTTGGCAGGAGATGTGGCTAAAGTATGTAAGTGTTCTTTCTGAATAGATTATTGAAGTTTGAATTTGGAAAAGCTCATCCAAAATTGCTTTCCTTTTTAACACTTCTGCAGGTTGCAATTTTCATTTCAGATGGTAAGTCATGAGAAATCACAACTGTTCATTTTAATTTCTCAGTGAAAGGATGAATTTCAAAATCCGCTTGAAGCAAAACATGTTCATTTATGTCACACTGATTCTAGGTATGATTTTGTGGAAGTTGAAGATATATCTGAAACCAGTACTGTTATTAGAGGACGGTGGTGTGGACACAAGGAAGTTCCTCCAAGGATAACATCAAGAACAAACCAAATTAAAATAACATTCAAGTCGGATGACTACTTTGTAGCTAAACCTGGATTCAAGATTTATTATTCTTTTGTGGTAAGTAGCTTAACCTCCCTATGATTACAAGCAGACACTGGGTCCATGAAGTATAGTGATCATTTTCTATGATTATTTACAGTGGTGTGAGGGTAAATGAACTTTATTAATACCTTATGTCATGGTTTGTTCCTGTCTCCTGGCCAAATTGTTATAGTCTTCATCAGTGAGAACTATTACCTCAATCTTTAGGCCATACATTCTGAGAGTGATAAATAAAGAACAATAGTTCATAGTAAAGCAGATACTAAATTACTTTGGGTTCAACTGAGGCATTATAAGTTTATGTGAAAGTTAAACAGACTTAAGCATTAAAACTAAAGAACATAACTTATCTTTTGCACTGGAAAGTTATATATAAATTTCAACACAAGGAAAAAAAAAAAGTCCCGATAATTTCAGTTTAAATGATGACCCAGATTGGGGAAGTCTATATTAAAATCACAAAGCCTCAATGTTGGAAAGCTCTTTAAGAGCCTAAGTTCCAACTCACTACTCAAGAATATGAATACTGTTTACAAAAGCCATACTTATTTGCAGCCCCACCTTTATGTAAAACATTTCACCAGCATTTCTAACTTGAAGTGGTTCTGACTATTAGAAAATGTTCAGCCTCAAACTAAGTAAAAATCCACACTGTAGTTAATTCTAGTTGTGGAGTAATACTCAATTATCGATAAGCAAGACAGACAAGGTCCTGGAACCTCCTGGAACTTATCGTCTGATGGAGTTACAAGGAGTTAAAAAGCAGCAACAACCCAGAATACTGAGTAATAAAACAGAAGAACCACATGCCACAGCTTATGTCCATGGAGACAGTGGGATAATTTTGCCTGTGCATTATGTTAAATATCCTGAATCCTTCAACTGCTCATAGAGGATTGTCCCTTTTCCAAGTGTGGCTGCCAAAATAGAACACAGGACTATAAATAGTATCCATTTGTTGTTGTCGTTTCCTCTTAAGAATTATATTTAGAATAGGACAAACCTTGCTTTAAAAACTATGATGGCTTTTAGATTGTGGTGAGTTATTAAACGCTACGTAAATTCTACCTCAGAACATTGGAAATGAGAAAATAGCATGCAGCGTCATTGGTTCTCATTTTAATTTGTAAATAATCCATTAAGCCTGATTTGCACTATTGCAAATTCATGCAGAGCAGGTCAGTGTTAAAGTGTGAACCTTTGGTTTCTACATTTCTGCGCCTTGTAATGTGTTCAGTAATGCATCCGTTCTCAACTGTTCAGGCGCAAGGAAGAGTTGGCATGGAGAATGGTGATGGATAAGCCTAGTGAAGAATCTTTTTTCCCCTTAAAATATTAAGCACGATTAGTGCTAATGTGTATATTTTGTGACACTTCAGTTATGACTTAGTCAAATGATGAAGAAGTAGGGTAGAAGCACTTAACTTCTAAGGCAAAACAATTCATGTAGAAGCCAGTAGAAGCATGGGCTTAAGGAAAACCAAATCCTCTGTTTGAGGTGTTTTGGGTTATGAGGCAGGTTTATCATTCATTTTCTAGCCAATGTTCAGGGGAATGTTTAGCCTCTGTAGTTTGGATAGAAACTATTCGGCATCATTCCAGTCACTTATTTGCCTCTTCTAGTTTTTCTTTCTTTTCTTTTTTTTTAAGAAAAGATGGTAGTTATAACATTTTGTGTATTTCCCTACTGGCTTCTTGATCTGCATTCATTGAGAATAGCTAGACAGAGAGAGACAGAGAGACAGAAAGCGAGAAATCACCTCCCAGGGGGGATATCCATGCCCCAATCCCTTCTCCATTCTCCTCTCAGGATCTTTGGTGTGCACGCACACATTCCCAGTGTGAGCTTAAGCCACCAGGTCCAGGATTCGAACTGCGGTCAACTACATGGGAGTCCAGCAACATAGCCATTATGCCAACTGCTGGTCCCTTGGCAGCTTAGGGAAGATCATACATGGCTTGACCACAGTATTGAGAAGATCATTTTATTCATGTTTAAGTTTTGTTTTGTTTTGTTTTTCATTTTTTGGAAGAGATTTAAAAGCAGAGTTTATCAACTAGAGACGAGGTTTCAAATTGCAAGCAGGGCAGGTGTGAATTAAGAGGGAGATTTTTAGAATTTCAGAATTTTAGCATTATGTGAATCTCCAGGGCCTAGAGGAAGCTGTTTTGTAACACCTTCTTTAAGGAATGGTAGTACTAGGAAAATTTGAGCCTAAGAATAGTTCCTGAAGCGTCAACGTGTTCTTTGTAAGTGAGAGGCAGCTGTTAGGATAGGTCAGGATCATTCTCTTCTCATTTCTGCCTTTCCACTCCATGCTTCCCATTGAACATCTCTGGTCTTCCTACCTCCGTGACTCTTGAGGTATAAAGGACTTCTCCTTCGGCTGTAAGTAGTGGGTGCCCACGACCATGAGAGCCCTTTACACTGGAAGGAAATCTACATAGTCTGTGGTCATAGTAATTTTAGAAAGTCCCATTGTACCTTTTTGGGCAATTTTTCACTCCAGCAAACTGTGGGAAGCTAATGGACAACATCGAGATAACATTTTGGGATGGCAATGATTTTTATATTACAGTTTTGTTTGATGTGCTTAGAATTCAATCTTCTACTTTTTTTTTTTTTTTTTTTTTAGTTTTTTGGTTTGGTTTGTGAGTCTGTGTGTGTGTGTGAGAGAGAGAGAGAGAGAGATTTTTGCTATTGGACATGTGCACTTGCCAGAGAGACTGAAAAACAGAAAGCAAGAAATCACCCCCAGGAGGAGATGGCCACACAGCAATCCCTTCTCCCTCATTGTCCTCTTGAGATTTGAGGCTTATTTGCACACACAGCCAGCCTGAGTTTCACGCTATCAGGTCTGGGACTCGAGCCATGGTTGATCATGTTGAAGTCTGCCACCTTAACTACTATGCTACCTGCTGGCCCCCAGTCTTCTACCTTTTTTCGAGTGTCTATTACATTCTCCTTCCAGGGTAAGGCATCATAGCCACTTAGGCCCAGATCTTTACAATAAAACATACTTCAGATTGAAGGCAAGTGTTACCAGTTGCTAATGTTGTGATATGGAACAAGTATTTTTGTTTATTTGTTTTTATTTTTAGAGAGAGAGATTTTTGCTATAGGGCACATGTGCTTGCCAGAGAGAGAATCAAAAAGCCAGAAATCACCTCCCAGGGGGATGACCACACTGCAGTCCCCTCTCCTTCAGTCTCCTCTTGGGATCCTGGGCACACACACACACACAGTTGCCTGGTGTGAGTTTCAGGGTTGCCTGGTGTGAGTTTTGAGTCCGGGACTTGAACCACAGTCAACTATGTGTGAATCCAATGGCATAACCAGTACACCATCTGCTGGTCCCAGAACAAGTATCTTACCCTTTGCTATGATGTGTTTAAAGTGGAGTCAGTAATTGGAGATGGCATGAGATTTTAAAATGATAAGGAATACTAAGCACAGCACCTAGGACATAGTTACTGCTCAATAAATTGTGATAATCATCATACCTATATTATTTCTAATTGTGTGTGTGTGTGTGTGTGTGTGTGTGTGTGTGTGTGTCTGTTTCCCTCAGATAAATGGTAATGAACTTTTTTCGGGGGGGGAGGGAGAGGTTTTTGCTATAGGGTGTGTGCGCTCGCCAGAAAAACAAAGAGAGACAGAGAGACAGAAAGCAAGAAATCACCCCCCCCTGCCTTGGGGGGGGCCACACCGCAATCCCTTCTCCTCCATTCTCCTCTCAGGATCTTGGGCACACACGCACATGAGCCCGGCGTGAGTTTAAGCCACTGGGTCCAGGACTCGAACCGCAGTCAACTACATGGGAGTTCAGCGACATAGCCATTATGCTAACTGCTGGTCCCGATGGTAATGAACTTTTATGAGGATAGAAAGATACCTTATGTCTATGTGAATTTTACATTGTTCCTTATGTGTGGCTATCCAGTATGTTAATTAATGGCTTCCTGAGAAAATATGATTCATAAGAACTGCCTAATTTCATTTTCTTTCTTTCCTGCTCAGTCTTCTTTTCAATTTCATTTCATTAAAGAGAATAATTTAGAGAGAAAAAATAAACCAGAAGGCTAATGTTATCAAACACTTAGTAACAAGATATAATTATCTAAATAACCAAGTAGCTAGGGCCATCCAGGTGGTGTGGTGGCTTAGGTAGCCAGATCCCACATGACTGACAGTAGTTTGAGTCCTGCACTGGATCCAGAAGCTTTTCTGAGAATGTGTGTGTGTGTGTGTCTGAAATCCCAAGACAGTAAAAGAAAAGGATAAGGGATTGCAGTATGGCCATCCTCCCTGGAGAGTGCTCTCTCACTTTCTATTTCTCTCTCAGTCTTTCTGGCAAGTGCATGCACCCTGTAGCAAAAAAAGAAAAAGGAAAAAAAGAAGGCAAGACAAACAGAGTAATGTGATGGATAGTGACTGGTAAGAGGCCCGCTTCACTTCATCTAGGAGTGAAGGATGATCTGCAGATGTCAAATTTCAATTGAAACTGGAAATAAGGAGGCAACCATGCAAAGCTATGGGAGAAGTGTGCGTTGAGCCAGTGCTAAGAGCCTGAGACAGAAAAGAAAGGCATCTTTCCTTTGGCAGTAATGATTCTCTTGGTAACTTGTCATTCAGACTGCTAGAAGGAAGAGACAAAAAAGAGAGAAGCAGAGCAGTAGCTCACTCCTCGCACAGTCGAGACTGAGAAAGTTTTCTTATCCTTTATTTGGATCTTAACTCTTTTAGTACTTAGATGGAATAGGTAGCTAAAAGCAGAGGTTCAGCTAGGGCAGATGCTAAATAAGGGTCAACAGGACACTAACTGGAGCCCAGGTGGTGGTGCAGAAGTAATGCACCTGGACCGACATGGAAAGGCCCTGGGTTCCCATGCTGGGACCTTTCTGAGCACACTAGGTGCATGCGCACTTGCCCGTGATTTAAACCAACCGAGTCTGGAGTGGCTCACGGCGTGAGGATCCTACTGTGGGTGCCTGTCTGTCTCTCAGTCTCTTTC